TTTTTTTTTGAGCATGAGTTTGCATATCATTATTTTGTGTCTTCTCCTTGCCACATTGTTTCGGCCGTCCATATAACTCGAAGCCTTTAACCTGCTCCTCGATGTAATAGGTGATGATAGCTGCCTACCTAGTTAAACAGCCCCATCTTGCTTTTATCAACATGTCAGTCCGCCTAGGAATTAGTTGCCTTAAACCATAGGTTTTGCGTCACAGTACCCAGCAAAGAAATGGATGGATGTAAGTAACCGACATTTCTTTTCTGCTTTGTTTGCAAACCCTTCCTGATGCGAAAGAGTCATGTTTAGTTCATTGCTAATATTCCGACTCACATTCGTCGTAGAGTGCCTTAACACATCACCTTATCCAGCATCGCATCTACAGCTGCTTTTTATTGAGGACCCGGCTAGACACACTGACCTACTGTCTTATGCTGTGCTGAATTGCCCTCTCGGTCAAAACATTCCGGTGCTTGTGAACTGATGCAATTGCATAAAGAAGGACTTTCCCACAGCCATCCACTTGTAAGCCTCGCTTTACTTTACTGAAGCAGCTGACACACTGTGTCTCCGTCAGAATGTTAAGATATGCGACAAAAGGAGCTCGTGGATCGAGGAGTAGTGTGGCATCAAAAACCCTTGGCTGATATGCAACAGGTGGATGAGGGACGCGAACTGATGAGACAGATGCGGTACGTGCCGGATGTACGAACCACCTGAGAGTAGGCAAGACGGCAACTCCAACTCATGACACGTAGTCGGGCAATTGATGCCTATTTTCCACGGCCCGAATGACAGTCGGTGATAACGACGCACTGGTAGTTCATGCAAGTAGATTTTGTGGTGCAATCACTATCAAGCTGGTTAAGTTGAGCCTACTTGTAGTGTTCTTAGTGGTAACATTTCTAATTAGTGATTTCAGTAAGTTTCGTTAAAGATTCATTTTGGGCTCATATATTTAAAGTCGCCTTACTCCACAACTTCTCCCCTCTCCTCATCTCCGCTGCTTCACCTTGTTATCCCAGCTTTACTTGCCAAACATATGAGGTCGGATATGAAATAGAGAAAATCCAATTTCGCGACATTGCTCACGTTACTTGTGATGAAAAGTATCGGCGACGAACGCATTGTCTACTGAGAAATTCAAAAAGTAAAACGCAAGTGTGTAGCAGGCACTCCTCTAAATAGCATGCACTCGCTTGCCACCACCAATTGGAAATCGGGCTAACATCTCTCAGCACCAGGAAATTCACAAGAAGGCCTTAAGCTCTATTCCTCACCGAATCTTGTGCTTCCGAGATTGGAGCTGGGTGCCCAAAAAGCTAGTGGAGACTGATCGGCTTCCACACCTCATTCGTTGTTCAGACACAAAGGAATCCGCCAGCATGTAGAGCCGTTGCTGTCAGGGTTGGCGGAATGAAAGCAAATTGGTTGGTATTACTTCCTGGTTTTGTGGCAGTTGTGAGTTTTTCATCAGCGCAACGTAGGAAATGTTGGTTCTCATAAATTATCGCCCCATTAAATGCACCTAGTTTAACAGAAGTGCCGCTTCGTTCCCACTTCTAAAATGGCATGCAGTGAGTTCAAGGCGATGCTAAGTTAGGAATTAGTTCAGCTTGTGAAAGGAAGTGCTTTTATTCTAGCAGTATGCTTATTAATTCTGACTGTATTGACTGCAGGATACTTTCGACAAGAGAATGCAATGGTATCTGACTATTATTGGCAGATCCTCGAAGAACTGGATACATTTGGAGCTTTGCCAGAAAATTAATGGGACTCGTCCACTGTTGTCTTAGTCCTTGCGGCAACGGACCACGAGAATAAAAGATATGTGACTTCCTCTCATAGACTCAAAAACAATGTTTGGAATTCAACGCTTGTGAATTTCTGAATGTCTTAATGCACCCCTACCTGGCAATAAATAAGAATTAAAACTTCGCATGCATGAAGTTAGAGACCGGTCCACAACTCTATGTTTCCGCATATTCACCGAGACCCAAAAGTGCTATTTTTACAAGGTACTAATTTAACTCAGCAGGTTTCGCTAACAGCAAGTAAACATGTAGGCTTCATGTGCGCTCACAGGCTGACCTAGCCGAAATGTGTAGAAGTATGAAGAACGCCTACATATTGGGGCAAATTTGCCAATCCTAAGCTGGTAGGGCTGGTAGTAAATCACAATTTAAACTATGAGTAGGAATGTCATACCTGCATCCATCTCAGTTTGCTTAACCAGTGTACGATGCAGAAGATTGCGCAAGTTAAGA